TTTTATTAAGTGCCAAGGGAACTTTTTTTCATCTAGTCTGTTCGTTGTTCTGTAGGCTTCTAGTATCTTCATAGGCATATATTTCTTTAGGTTGGGAACGTTTTCTTCTATGATTTTGTTAAATATATTTTCTGTGTTTTTGAGTTGAACTTCTTCTCCTTCTTCTATACCTATTATTTTTAGATTTGGTCTTTTCATGGTGTTCCATATTTCCTGAATATTTTGGGTTAAGCTTTTGTTAGATTTAATGTTTTCTTTGACTGGTGAGTCTATTTCCTCTATAGGATCTTCAGCGCTTGAGATTCTCTCTCCCATCTCTTGTATTCTGCTGTTTATGCTTGCATTTGTGATTCCTGATCTTTTTCTCATGATTTCTGTTTCTATAATTCCCTTGGCTTGTGTTTTCTTTATTGTCTCTATTTCAGTTTTCAAGTCTTAAATAGTTTCTTTCATATGTTTGATTGTTTTTTCTTGGTTGGTTTTCTTTAATGGATTGGTTGATGTCTTCCAATTTTTTTGTTTGTCTTTTCTTCCATTTCTGTGAATGAATTTCTCATTTCCTCTTTAAGAGTTTCAAACATTCTCCTCAAGTTATTTTTTAGGTCATTTTCTTCTGCTTCATCTATATTTGGTGTTCAAGTCTTGCTGTTGTAGGGTCTCTAGATTTTACTGGTGGTCTGTTGTTCTTTTTGTTGTTGCATGTGTTCTTACCTTGTGTATTCATCTTTTCCTCTAATGGGTGTGGTCATGACTGTCTGTGATTCTGATGATTAATCTTCTAGGTGCCAGTGAATCCAAGGCTCAGGTGGTTGTTCCTCATGGTACAGTTAGTGCCACAGTTCTAGTTACCCCATTGGTCTTATTCCTGGAAGTTGCTCAGTACTCCTGTGTTGTAATAGGAGCGGCAGGGCTGCGTCCCCAGCACCCCGGCTGCCTGGCTAGCTTATGCCCGAAATAACAACACACAAACTGTATTCATTTAATCACTGCTTGGCCCATTTCTATCTAACCTCTTCTAGGCTAATTCTCACATATTAATTTAGCCCATTTCTAATCATCTGTGTAGCACCCCTAGGTGCGCTTACCGGGAAGATTCTAGCCTATGTCCATCCTGGGTCGGAGCTTCATTGCAGCCTGGGAGCTGGGAGCATGGCTTCTCTCTGAGGCGTCTGCTCCCAAGAGGAGAGCTGTGGAATCTGAGCTCACTTCCTCTTCCTCCCAGCGTTCTGTTCTGTTTACTCCTCCCACCTATCTTCTAACCAATGAGGGCCAAGCAGTTTCTTTTTATTTAACCAATGACCTTCCTCCATCACTCCTGGGCTTTGCTCTGCTCCCATGGAGTTTTCTGTCTCAGGCCTGCTCTGGCCTAGGTATCGGCTCAGGTCTGTTTCTATAAAAGTTTCTGGCCAGGATCCTTTCCTGCAGAGGTCCCTGGCTTGGGGTTGGTCCTGTAAATGTCTCTGGCTCTGATCTTCTCGCTCAGAGATCCCATACTCAGGTGTGCTCAGACTCCCAGAGGATCTGGCTCAGGCCTACTCCCTTAGATGTCCCAGACTCACACCCAGACCCATAGAGGTCCTGGCTTAGGCCTACTCCCTCAGAGGTCCCAGACTCAGCCTGGACTTGTAGAGATCTCTGGTTCCTGCCTACTCCCTCTGAGGTCCCAGACTCATGCCCAGACCCATAGTGGTCCTGGCTCAGGTCTACTCCCTCAAAGGTTCCAGATTCATGACTGGACCCACAGCAGTCTTTGGCTCTGGCCCACTCACTCAGTGGTTGCTCCCTTCTATCTGCTCCTGTGGAGTTCACTGTCTCAGGTCTGCTCTGGCCCAGGGCGCTGGCTCAATCCTGCCTCCACAAATGTTCCTGGTCTGGATCTGCTCCTGTGGAGCTCGCTGTCTCAGGCCTGCTCTGGCCTAGGAGGTTGGCTCAATCAAACTTCTGTAGAGCTCTCCACTTTAGGCCTGCTCTGACCTAGGTTGCTGACCCAATCCTGCTTCTGCAAATGACCCTGGTCTCTGCCCGCTCCTGCTCCCATGGTGTTCACTGTCCCAGGCCCACTTTGGCCCAGATCACTGGCTCAGTATTGCTCCTATGGAGTCATGACCTCATGCCTGCTCTGACATTTTTACTTTTTAAATTTGTTCCTACTTAATATACTAGCTGCTCAAGGTATCAGTGTCTCATACAAACTCTTTCTTTGTTGTTATTTTTCAAGACAGAGTTTCTCTGTAGTTTTGAAGCCTGTCCTAGAACCTGCTCTGTAGACCAGGTTGACTTCAAAGGCACAAAGATTCCACTGTCTCTACCTCCCAAGTGCTGGGGTTTAATGTGTGTGCTACCACTGTGTGGTCCCCATAGAAAGTCTTAAGGAGCCGTATCCTCCCTTTTTTTTTTATTCAACTTTCTCAGGCCATATGGAAATATAGCCCACATTAGTTTGCCAAATGTGGTTGGGTTTTTTATGACTCTTTTGGGAGCCGGCCATCCAGCTACAAAGCAAGCCATGAAGAGTAAAATTTACTGAAGTAAGAGAATGGAAAAAGCCAAGAGGTAAAAGAGAAACAGGTTAATTTAAGTTACAAAGAGCTGATAAGAAACAAGACAAGCTAAGGCTGGTCATTTATAAATAAGAATAAGCCTCCATGCGTGATTTATTTGGGAACTGGGTGGCATCAACCCAAGGAAGTAAGAAAACCAACAACACACAGGTATGTGGAATTCAGTGAGTCAGAGACCAGCCTGGTCTACAAGTGGGTTCCAGAACAGAAAGGGCTACATAGAGAATCCCTGTGCCAACTCCCCCCCCCACCAAAAAAAAAAACAAGAAAGAAAGAAAGAAAGAAGGAAGGAAGGAAAGCATAATCAATACTAACAGGGTACTGTGAACAACCCCCATGTGGCTACCAAAACATTCCTCTCCATCTTTCATTCAGTGTTCAGGGTCTGTTGTTTCTCCATAGCTGTGTCCTCAGCTGACACCTTCTCCACTGTCCCCAGAATGCCATTAGTCCTCCTCCTTGCCTGGACAGAGGGCAGCAGTGCTGGAGCCACAGGACAGGCTTCTTGAATAGCAGTCACAGCACCTGGAAGCAGACATGTTTGAGTCACTTTGTTTTGGCCCTTGGCAGTCATCATCGAATCTGTGCCAGGATCTGTGGGTCACCAAATCCCTGGTCACAGCAGCTGTCCTCATTCTGTCCCACAGGTTATTATTTCCTCTTGTAGCCTGGCACCCGGTGAGCTGTAAGGAAACCTCTCAGGATCCTCTGAGTGACACCAAGACCAAGCAGCTGTCATAGGCTCCACAGGTAATCAGTCTATTCTCTGCTGCTGCTCATGGCCTAGGACTGCCAGGGCCTCCCTGCTGAGGCCTGCTGAGGAGTCAAAGATGCAGAAGGAGAACCCCAAGGGGAAGCAGAGAGTTCCCCAGTCCTGGGTCAGAGCAGCCTCCCTCCTAGCTTTGTTTTGGGATGCATTCTCAGGAGTAACTTCAGCAATACCCAGTCTGAAAAATGGAAGCCAAGGAGGTTGGAACGGAGGGAGCAGGAGGCAGGGAATGTGAAGATGGGAGACAGCTCCAGCCCTCTCTTGGTGGCTCGCTCTCAGCTGATCCTGTGGCGCTGTCCCTGAGGAGGGAGCCCACCCTGCACCAGCTCAGACACCCACCTGTTCTAACTGCTTCAGCAGGAAGTTTCTACACCCACAGTCCATATATGTTACCTGGAGACTGTCTCTTCATATTACCTATTCAGGGCCAAGTGTCCCCATGTGTCCAGGCAGGCTGGAGTCTGCTGCAGCCTCTACTGCACCTCATTAACTTCAGGCTACCTAATCCCCATCCCCTGCACAGCCAGGACCAGAGCTTGTTTACCAGGTGTGTTGGTCTCAAGTCAGGCCTGGTTTTTCTTTTGTCACGTTAAAAAAAAAAAATGAAGTTGAAACAGAAGACCAGAAAAAAAACAACAACAAAAGTCTGCTCAGAAGTGACTCTACCCAGGAACAGCCCCCTACACCAGCCCTTGATCCACACTGGTGTCCTGAGCCCTGTGCTCACTGTCTTCTTCCCTCACCTCTGCTGCTTAGGCGGTCAAGTCATTTGCTCAACTTGACCAACACACACTGCACAGCAGGCATGTTAAAGAATGAGAGAGAAAAAACTACAGAGCTGTGCACTGGGTCAGGACGTCAATAGAACTTCAATGTGGCCAACTTATCCCAGCCAAAGATGTACTCCCCAAAGAGCCTCCATGTGTGCGTTAGAGAGGAGCTGGGGCCTTCATGGCCATCACAGTGAGATTCACAATAACTGAGACATGGGAAGAGCAATCCTGCACATCAACAGATCATAGAGACAATGCGGTGCGCATGACGATGGAATTTATTCAGACATAGAGATGAATGAAAGTGTGCCATCTGCAGGACAATGGTGGAACTGTGGGGCATCCTGTTGACCAAAATAAGTCAGATTTAAAGACAAATATTGACTGTTTTCTTTCAAATGTGGAACCTAGACTAGAGAGAGAGAGAGAGAGAGACAGACAGACAGACAGACAGACACACACACACACACACACACACACACACACACACACACACGGAGAGAGAGAGAGAGAGAGAGAGAGAGAGAGAGATAGAGAGAGAACATAGAGGGACATAGAGGGGAACTATTAGCCAAAGGCAGACTAGTAACTGGAGAAGGTACCGAGTGAATATTGCCAACACACATGATAAACTTGACTGAAATGGTGTTTCAAAACTCTCCACACTGGACAATAAATAGACGTTAATAACAGAGAAATCATGCAATAGAATAAAGAAGGGAGGAAAGCTTAGATGTGGGGCACTTAGAGCATGCAGGAGGCTCTAGGGTCCATGAGGAAGGATACAGAGCACGTGGAGTCTGCAGGGTAAGTATTCCCTTCTAAATGGGGAGGCCTGGAAAGCCTGGGCAGGTGCTGGGGTGCCAGATCCTGACACACGAGGAAACCAGGGTCAGCATGGAGGGTCCCACCAACCAGAGACCCCCGTATGCTGCTGATCTTAGCGTGTCCATCACAATAGCAGAGACCCCCGTATGCTGCCGATCTGAGCGTGTCCATCACAATAGCAGAGACCCCCGTATGCTGCCGATCTGAGCGTGTCCATCACAGCAGGAGTCTTTACTGGCACTTGATCTCAGTAGTGTGTCCTTGAAATGTCATTTTGAACCGTGAGAGGCACACCCTCCAGGTATGTTACAACACAGCTCGTCCTCACTCCCTTCTCTTTAATATCATAACCCCCACATCGCGTGGGCAGGAACTGACCTCAAGTGACCTGAGAAGATTTGCAGCCATTACAATGTTGGTCTCCTTTAACGGGAAGTTCATGTTTTCTTTGCCGCCTTTACTGCCAGAACTGCCCCGTATGCCTCCTCCCTTCTTCTTCTTCATTCTCCTTTTCTCCATACCCCTCTCTTTCCCTCTTCCCTCTCTCTTCCCTGTCACTCAAAAGAAGTCTTGCTATGTCACCCAAGTTGACTGCAAACTCACAATCCTCCTGTCTCATCTGCGATGTGCTGGGTTATGGGTCTGCACCATCATTTCAGGATTCCATTTATCATACATCAGAAATGCTGACTAGGAGCCGGGCGGTGGTGGCGCACGCCTTTAATCCCAGCACTCGGGAGGCAGAGGCAGGCGGATCTCTGTGAGTTCGAGACCAGCCTGGTCTAGAAGAGCTAGTTCCAGGACAGGCTCCAAAACCACAGAGAAACCCTGTCTCGAAAAACCAAAAAAAAAAAAAAAAAAAAAAAAAAAAAAAGAAATGCTGACTAGGGCCGGGTGGTGGAGGCCAAGCCTTTAATCCCAGTAATCATGAAGCAGAGGCACAAGGAGCTCTGTGAGTTCAAAGCCAGCCTGCTCTACAGGGCAAGTTTTAGGACAGCTATGGCTGTTACACAAGAAAACCTGTTTCAAAAAACCAAAAAAATATTCGTCAGTATTGCTATAGGATAGGGTCATTTCAGGTTCCCTATCTTCATCTGGTGATGGATGGAGATAGAGACAGAGACCCACACTGGAGCACTGGACTGAGTTCCCAAGGTCCCAATGAGGAGCAGAAGGAGGGAGAACATGAGCAAAGAAGTCGGGACCACGAGGGGTGCACCCACCCACTGAGACAGTGGAGCTGATCTATTGGGAGCTCACCAAGGCCAGCTGGACTGTGACTGAAAAAGCATGGGATAAAACTGGACTCTCTGAGCATGGCTAACAATGAGGGCTGATGAGAAGCCAAGGACAATGGCACGGGGTTTTGAACCTATGTAATGTTCTGGCTTTGTGGGAGCCTAGCCAGTTTGGATGTTCACCTTCCTAGAAATGGACGGAGAGGGGAGGACCTAGGACTTACCACAGGGCAGGGAACCCTGACTGCTCTTTGGACTGGAGAGGGAGGGGGAGAGGAGTGGGGGGAGGGGGAAAAGGGTGGGAGGAGGGGAAGAAGGGTGGGAGGAGGGGGAGGGAAATGGGAGGCTGGGAGGAGGTGGAAACTTGTTTTTTTTTTCTCCTTTTCTCAATAAAAAAATGGAAAAAATAAATAAATAAATAAATAAAAGCAGAATCATACAAAAAAAAAAAACCAAAAAAAGAAATGCTAGGTAATTCGATATTTAACAATAATTAATTGGATATTTCAGAACAGGTAGTGATAGTGAGAATTGAATTTTGAACAATCTTTTTTAATGATTTATTTATTTTAATTTTATATAAATATGTCTTTTTCCTGCATGTATTTCTGTGTGAGGGTGTTGGATCTCTGGCGCTGGAGTTACAGACAGTTTGTGAGGTGCCTGTGGGTGATGGGATTTGAACCCGGTACCTCTGGAAGAACAGCCAGTGCCCTTAACTGCTGAGCCATCTCTCCGGCCCTATTTTGAACATTCTAAAGTAAATGATAAAATTTTAAACTAATAACATGCTAATTTATCATGAAATATCCTACTGTGTTACATACATACATACAATTACAATGGGACAATTAAAAATGAATATTCAAAAATCACTTAAAATTATTGTTAAAAATTTAAATTCTGAATTAGTAGAGTCTTGGCATATGTGTGTGTGTGTGTGTGTGTGTGTGTGTGTGTGTGTATGTATGTATATATATTGAATAATCCACAAATACTCATTCTTCCTGTCTTCTTTGTCTGGTATTGCCAAATCCAATTCTTTTTAATGTTTTGTTTGGGTTTTTTTCATTTATTTTTCAATACAGAGTCTCACTTCGTAGCTCTACCTCTCCTGGAACTCCCTATGTGGACCAGCCTGGCCTAGAACACACAGAGACCCACCTGCCTCTCCTCCCGAGTGCTGGGATTCAAGGTATGCACCACCATGCCGGCCTGTATTGGCTTTGTAAAATTCTTCTCTTGGCTCTGAGACCACTCGCTCATTTATTCTGTACAAGTTAGTTGTTAAAGCTGACGTCACTCACTTTTGTCATTGTTGTAAATAATGAAAGCAGATTATCTCACTGACAATATTGCTTATTTTGGTCCATTCTGGAAGGGAGGCAGGCTGGGCAGTCCACATCATGGCGCACAAAAGCAGTAACATGAAAGGCCAAGACAAGACGGCAATCAGCCCCAAAGACACATCCCAGCTGCCCTCCTGACCCCAGCCAGGCTCAACTTCCCAAGGTGCCTCAGCTCAGTCTGAACCACTCATGCACTCAGAGAATTAGGATCTGTTATTTCTGGGAACTCCCTCACACCCCACCGAGAGAAGGGCTACTGATCTCCCAGATATTTATTAACCCAGTGAATTGAAACACAGGATTAATAACTGATCATCCAAGTGACAAAGTCAATTTGGGACTAGAGAGTGGCTCAGCGGTTAAGAGCACTGGCTGCTCTTTCATAAGACATGGGTTCAGATCCCAACGCCCACATCAGGTTCCCAGCAGGCTGTAACTGCAGCTCCAGGGGACCCAAGGCCCTCTTCGGTCACCAGAGACACACATGGTGCAAAGACATGCGTACAAGCAGGCAAACATTCCCATACATAAAATAAAAATCAAGGGAAAACATCACATTCAAGGACTGGGCCCCAGGCACACAGTAGATGGATGCCATCACTGGACTCTCCCTCTTCCTGGGGATGAGAGACTCACTTTCTAACTGTTCTGAGCTGAAAACCATACATGTCTCTGCAAAGCACCAAGACAGTTCCCTGGTATATCTGTCCTCTCAGGATGCCATCACAAAGTGACACTGGGTAGGTGGCTTAAAGAGAAAAGATCTCTTCTCTCACTGTTCTGGAATCCAGCAACCACAATCAAAGTGTGGCAGATTAGCCCTGGGGGGGGGGCACTCTCTTCCAAGTCGGTAGAGGGAGCCCATACCCTGTTCTAGCCCAAGGTCTCTCTTGTGTGTCTGGAGAGAAGAGAGTAAGGGAAAGGGAGAAAGGGGAGGGTGGGGGAGACAGAGAAGGAGGGAATGGAGGGAGGACGCTTCTTCTGGCTGCTGTGAGGACACTAACATTCTGGGTCAGGGACCTCGCTCACAACCTCACTTGCTTCCTTCTCTATCTCCAAATACAGTCACCTGGGGAGAGAGCTTTAACAAATGTGTTAAGAGACATAACTTAGTCCCTACCAAAAGTGACACCAGATTATACCTGAAGGGACAGATGCTCAGAACACATTTTAAAACCTAGTTCCTGAAGCCATTCAGGGTCTCCAGCATGCTCGTCTAACCATATTCCTTTTCCTTCACATCTAGAGAGGAAAGGCTTCATCATGTCTGTGGTTGAGTATCTCTGGGACAAATGGAGCACAATGGCCCTACAGCTCCTGCCGATCAAAGACAAATTCAGAAAACAACTTGTGGAAAGAGCTGGTCTGTCCAGTTTCTCTCCATTTGATTTGATGTTGGCTGTCGGCTTGTTGATTGTTTATATCATATTTAGGTATGTTTCTTGTATCCCTGATCTTTGCAAAATTTTTATCATGTAGGGGAGTGAATTTTGCCAAAGGCTTTTTCAGCATCTAAGAAGATGATCATGTGGTATTTATCTTTCAGTCCATTTATATTGTGGATTACACTGACAGATTTTCTTACACTGAACCATCAAGTAAGAGATGAATCCTACTTATTCATGATGAATGATTTTTTTAAGTGTTCTAGGATAGAGTTTGCCAATATTTTATGAACTTTTTGCATCAGTGTTCTACATGGAGACTCTTTCGTTGTTGCATTGTTGTGTGGTTTGGGTTAAGGTAACAGTAGCCTGATAGAAAGAATTGTACCTAGCTTTTCTATGTGGACTCTGGAACACAGAACTCAGGTCCATGTGTTTGTATGGCATACACTTTACCAAATTAGCCACATCCTAACGGTGCATCTAGATATTAAGGGAGAATTGTCTGCTATCCTCAAGACACAGCACAGTTACGTGAGAGCTCACACGGGGTGACACACACCAGGAAAGATGCGTTGGCAGAGAAGCCGTATTCTGACACGAGTTAGCAGTCAAGAAGGAGCTGTTCAGGACTGCTGCCCTAAGGGAAAGAGACAGAACACTTCTGGATAGGCATTCAGCTGGAGACTCTGGCAGACAAGCTGAGTGAGGGGCAGTAGTGAGCAGGGAGCAGGGGCACTGTGAAGCTGACCTCATGGGATTCCTCCTGAAAGAGGTCAAGACTAAGACATCAAAAGTTAAACACAGGAACTTGATTGAGTATTGAGTATCAAAAGCAGAGCAGTCTCACAACCTGACTTAAGATTCTTGACAAGTCTGGGCAGGGAACATCAACCATCCCAGAAAAGGCATGGAAAGCCAAGGTTGAGCCACACTATAAAAGTAGCTTAGAAAAGCTTAATAAAGTTGACCAAGGAAAAGTATTTGTCCACATAAGTCTCAGTGTCCAGAAGTTTTTTGGGCCTTGATCACATACACAGTCCCCATGAGAGACCTGGGGTCTCCCTCCCTCCTGGAGTCCATGCCTTTAGTGTCTAGATTCCCTGGAGGTCAGAAATGACAGCAAAATCTCACCACACATCACCTTTCTCAGCCTGGGAATTCTAGCGAGAGCTAGGGAACCTACATGTTGTGTTTTCTCTGTTTTGCCTGCAATGGAAACACTTGCATAGGCACAGTGAGGTGCCTTGGGGATAGGACCCACATAGAAGTGGGGATCCACTCATGGTTCTTTATCTTATGCTCACAGCTGGAAGGGAGCTTTGTGTGCTGGGCTTTGAGGGGAAGGGTCTTAGCTGTGAGCAGCCCCACCAGCTCAGGTGTACACACAGCTGCAGGGCAAAGAGACATCAGCTTCAGAGAATACCTGTTCAGGGTTTCTCTCTCAGGGGTGTGCAATATGTACACACTCAAAATTCAAGTCCCCAAGCAAATGTGGACATCCCTGACCAGCAGGTCACTGTAGGGTAGACAGGTCAGTTCCCAGTAGCTGATGCCAAGAGAAGGTTTTTATTTGGGCAAGTGTTCTCTTCAGTGAACACTGACTTACCTAAAATAAAGGGTTATTTTTTCTCTAACCTCACTTCTCTGTGTTTTAGAGTTCCTACAGAGAAGTATGTTGGTAGTGATGACATTGGCCTTGAGGAAAATCCATCTTTATTAAATCTTTTAAAAATGCATTTAAAAATGTGTGGTAAGTGACTTGAGATAACTCAGGAGTTAAGAGCACTGGCTCCAGATGACCGAATTGCAGTTCCCAGCATCCTCATGATGGCTCACAACTGCCTGTAACTCTGGGTCTAGTGATCCAATTCCTTCTTCTGCCCTTCATGACACCAGGACTGCAGATGGTACACACACACACACACACACACACACACACACACACACACACACACAAAGGCAAAACACTCAAACAAATAAAATAAAAATTTTAAAGGACTCAGTAATATGGTTTTTAACTCATTGTGTCCTTAACAATTAAATGTTGTGTGGTGGATCCAACCTGCTCATCAATGCAAGAACGACATTATACAGCTGTAGCACTCTCCTCCACTTCACTCCAGCAGATGCTCTGATTGCCACAGGACAGATCTTTCCAAATTCTCGTCCTCACTCTGTTAGTTGGTCTCTCCCTTTACAGGAAAGTGAAAGATGCCTCACGTGAGAAGGAAAGGTTTCTGGAAGTTTATCCACAGATGAAACGGGAGCTTGAGGAGAGCATCAGGAAGCTCCACGCCCTTGCAGACATGATTGACAAGGTTTACAGGGGCTACACCATCACGCAAGTGCTGGCCAGCTCCACCAGTGCTGTGTCTGGGTTCCTGACAATCCTTGGTCTCGCTCTGGCACCTGTGTCAGCAGGATTCAGTGTGGGACTTTCAGCCACAGGCTTGGGGCTTGGGGCAGCAGCGGCTGTGATGAGTGTTTCCGCAACCATTGTGGAAAAGGTAAGCATGGTGTTCGTGGAAGCTGAAGCCAGCGAGCCAAGAAACAACGACACCGAGGAGAACATACAAGACTCTTTGAAGGAGATCACCACCAGGCTTGTTTCTGTATCTAAGAGATTTGTTAACACTGTGGATGACATAAAGAAGAACATTGATGCCATCAAGCTGACCAAAGCCAACCCTTGCCTAGCAAATAAAGCTAAGCGTCTAATGACCACAGGTAAGGTGTCAGCCAAAAGCACTAAACAGGTAATGAAAGCCTTTGGAGGCACTGCTCTGGCAATGACCAAAAGAGCCCGGATCATGGGTGCAGCCACTGCAGGTCACTCCCTAGCGCTAGATATAGTCAGCATCGTAAAAGATACAAAGCATTTTCAGGAGGGTGCAAAGGCAGAGTTTGCTGCAAAGCTGCGGCAGCAGGCTCGGGATCTAGAGCAGAAGTTGCAGGAGCTCATCCGGGTGCATGACAGCCTGACTCAGTGACCTCTTCTTGAGTGCAGTGCGGAGGACTGGGGGTGGAGTGTGCTGGGCAGAGCCATGGACACTTGATGGTTCCTGAATGTATCCTCTTTATACCAATGCCATAACAGTGGTAGTGCCTGCTAGAGGAGAGGCCAGATCAAGAGAAAGGAAACCAGAACACAGAACACATATGGGACAGGCTTGTTATCTCCCGCTAGACTCTACCTTCATCTTAGATCTAACAACCTCCAGCATCCCATATGAGGACCATGCTCCCAAGCTGGGAAGAACATCCAAGGCCTGACTAAGCCACAGCACAACTGCTCCCCAGTCCCACCTACCACACTGTCCTAACAGAGGCTCACCATCCTCACAGTTCCCCGAGCTGCCAACTTTCCCACTGCTTTCATATTGACCTTTTACTTCTTCGTAGTTCTGCCTCATTCTGTGTTTTTCCAATTATTTCCCAATCTTACCATCAGATTCTGGGTGTGAACCCCACTTCTGTCTTCATGGTTTGGTCACATGGAGTGATGGATTTTGGTGGAATGCTCAGAGGGTGGAAAGGAAGGGAGGCTGGGGACACCATCTGCAGGGTCATAACAGGTTCTTGGTCCTATGTGCCAGCCGTGGGCTCTACAGGAAGGAGGGGTGACAGGATGTGGTGGTGAGTTCTGCTCTCTGTAAGCAGACTCTTGGGAAAATCTCAAGGCTTAATTTCTACTGAAGTTTAAAACCTGCTCTAATTGGATGAGATCTGCTGAGATGCACGTGAAAGCTGCACTTGCTCCATTATATGTGAAGAATTAGTTTGTAAACACTGGAAACACTGGCCGGGTCATGCTTTGTGTTGTATGAAAATGATATCACGTGTTTTCTAGATTGTTGACTACAGAAAGTTGATCATTGTCTCCAGATTTCTATCATCTCCTCTTTTTAAAACTGTTTTCTTTATTGTGGATTAACAAGAATATTTGAAATTTAAACAAGAACCGTTTTCATTCTTGATCTCACCCTCCCCTTCTGGCAACAGAAGCACCCTGAGGCTGCAGCAGTGAGCAGTGTCCCCTCGTTCCTTACCACTCAAGTGGCCTTTTTCCCAAGTTCTGAACACCTGAGGCAGAGAGATGACCTTTGTATTCCTGGGTCTTGTCTGTTAGAGGATCATTCTTGGGTCACACAGCCCCTTCTGTCCTTCCTTGGAAGGGATGTCTGGCCAAGGGACAGCTGGATGTGGACAAAGCCATTGCCCTGGGGACTCAGAGTGGGAAGAGAACTGAGTAGTGGACAAACATGGGAAAGAAATCAATCTGCATCATGAGCTGCCTAGCAACTTGCTCCTCAGTGTCAAAATTCATGGAGTCCTCTCTACTGCTGAGCCCATGTGCCTGTGTTATAGTGAACACTGTGCCAGGGCTCGGATTCTGTCCCTGACCAAACTCAGGAGCCATTGCCAGAGCTCACGACATCCTTGACCTTGAACCCTGTCCTCTCTCCTGACTCCATCAGTGTCCTAAGGACACAGATTACTTGAAGAGCCTGTGCCTTTGTCACTGCACTCTTCAAGGCTCTCAAGACTCTCAAAACTACTGCACCATAGCCCTTTCAATGAATGATCACTTAGGTGTCCAGTGCCCAGAGAGCTCCCTGCAGCTTCCAGTCCATGGTCATTTCACCTCCATGGTTCTGCCCACAAGGAACACACCTTCCTTTACGAGAGAGACAGACAAGCATGGTGGGTGTCGGTGAGAATTGACACAGCCCATGGACACTTCTTATAGATGCAGCATTAGTTCATGTGTGGTGAAAGTATTCTAGTAGGTAGAGAGATACTTTCAAGATAGAGATACATTTAAAAAGAACTTAAAATGAATTTCTATGATGTAATAATGTATCTCAGGTGTTAGAAGTGCTCTTAACAAGAGAGACCAGTGAGGCTCACAGATGAGTAGAGGCCCAGAAAGGGACAGGAGAGATGGACAGGGTGAAGGAAGGACAGTGCAGAGGAGGAGCTGTGACCAGGTTGTCCCTGCTGAACACAAGTAACAGGCAACAGGACTGTGCCTGCAGCTGCTGACCCCAGAGATGTCTGCACTGAGCTCAGGCAGCTGAGGGGTGTCCTGTATGTGGGGAAGATAGGATGGTCCTCATGATGGGCTGTGACTCCTCAGCCACAAGAAGGGAAGGATTCATGGTGTCCACAGCACTGCAGATGGCTGTCCCTGGCACGTGCTCAGTCAACACAGACCCAGCTGTAGTGGGTGTGACATCTCAACCCAGCTATAAAGATAAACTATTGAAATGGAAATGATGGAGGAGAGGAGAGTTGGGCGGTTGTCCTGTGTACAGGGAGGGCACAGGACCCTCAAGGATTATCACCAGGGTGTCACTTTTTTTAAAAATATTTATTTATTTATTATGTATACAATATTCTGTCAGTGTGTACGCCTGCAGGCCTGAAGAGGGCACCAGACCCCATTACAGATTGTTGTGAGCCACCATGTGGTTGCTGGGAATTGAACTCCGGACCTTTGGAAGAGCAGGCAATGCTCTTTACCTCTGAGCCATCTCTCCAGCCCCCACCAGGGTGTCACTTTATGGTGATAGACTGTTCTTTACCTGATTGTCACAACGGCTCTACGAACCCATGTCTCTGATGAGTAATCAAGGACCCTGTGAGCACACGGACTGAGTGCAGTCACAGCGAGGAAACTGAAGCTGTCCTGAGGTCAAGCTCACTGGGCAGGCATGGCAAAGGCAAGTGTTTACCACATGGAAGCCGTGAACAAGGAGTGACAGGAGGAGACACAAGAATTAGCATTCGATGACATGCTCCGAGTGACCCATGGTCTCGAAGTGTAGCCCACTTCCTTACAGACTCCAGAATTCTACTCATTCAGTAAGTTAAACCACTCATTAAGTCAGAGCCTTCTAGAACAATCTTTGCAAATAGAGATACAAACAGAGACAAGCTCTGTTAACACAAACGCTGTCTGCTATTCAGCCAAGGGGACAAGCACGATGATATTTTACACCTCACCTTCTTCCCTGCGATTTCTCCATGGTGAGTCCAGTGTGAGGAAAAATGTAGATTTCAGACAAGTTTCAGAATGGACTCATAGAGTTAGATGATCTTCTGCTCCCTTCTGGGTGGAGTGTGATGGTGGCCTCATTCCATTGCTGTCCACATGACAATAAGGAAAAAAAATATAAATGGAAGGGAAGTGGCTGTGGGCACTGCTTACCACAGAATACCATCTACAGGGTGGGCAGTGAGGCCATTCTGAAGAAAGATCTCATGTGGGATTACTGTTGTGAAATCCTCGGGAAGCAGAGCCAAGTATCAGTCACCCAGTTGGTTCCAGGCAAGAGGCTTAATGTAGACAGAGCAAGTGTGTACAGTCGGGGTCTCCTCCCCACAGAGCCATGAGCTCAGCATGGGGGTCCACACCCAGGTGCTATCACCTCCATTAATATTAACTATTACGGTTGCTACACACTGGTCCCTCCCCCAGATGCCAGAACATTGCCATCATCTCTCTCAAGTGCCCATTTTATTCCCTCTCGTGGTCACAAGTCCAACTAATGAACTTTTCCTTGAATCTAAATAGGACAGGAGGCCATTCTCTTGGCTAGGATGCCCACAGCTGTCAGGACCACTTCTATCATCGGCTAATTATGTGAATTTTGCGAGTTCCTTATCACTTCCCAACTAAGTGTCATTGCTACTGCTATTTAATGTAAGAGGAACAGGAACACGACATGGAGTGCTCAGAATATGGTCAGCACACAGTAGGTGTTCCTGAAGTTACTATTGAAAGCCTCATGTGAGAAAATCAGAGTCAAAAGTCTTATAAGCGAGAAGACTCAAGAACTCATTTGGGGACAAGTCAGAAAGATGTAGACATGATCAACCCATGTCCCCAGGTTCTGTCTCAGTCACTCTCCTCCCATGTGAGGAGCTGTAACAACAGCAGGATCCTCTGACCGAGACCCCACAGTGCAGGTGCACAGTGCTGGATTGACCCTGGCTGTACCTACTGAGATCTGGAGCTCCAGCTCTGTTCAGTAGGAAGGGGAATGCAGGCTGATAGAACGTGGTGGTGACAGCCCAGGATGAGCAACTGGTCAGGAATGGAAAACCAAATGCCAGCTCCCTTCCCAAAGCCCAGAGAGTCCAGTAGCAGTGTCATAGTCAGGGTTCAAGAGATACTGTGAGTGACCCTAGATAGGAGCTTGAAGGACCCAGCGATGACAGTCCAATAGAGGCCTGAGTCTCAATAGTTTACCTGAGGCAATACAGGGTTGCAAGAAAGGCTACAAACTGAGACCACCCAGGAACCACCCAGGAACAGCCCATCTGAAGGAAATTCCAAACTTTGTAAATAGGATCACCTTCCAGCACACCTCCATCCCTTTTCACCAGCACACCCCTAGACAAATGTCAACTAGTTAGAGTCTTAAACCTTAGAAATTCCTCACCCCTACCTTCGCTACTACAAAAACCCTACCCTAACTGACATCAGGGCTCTCCAACTATTCCAATATGATGGACACACAGAAAGTCCAAGTTTGCAAACTTGTGTAAGAATAAAGGCTCTTTGCTTTTACATACAGGACTCGGTCTCTAAGTTGGTTTTGCGGGGACTCTGTGATCTGGGCATAACAGAGCTCTAGGTAGAAGGCTAGGACAGCAGATCTGGAAGGCAAGGAGGAACTGACAGGTAGTTCTTAGAACAGTGTAGTGATATGAGCTGCGGGGCTGTGTCCCCAGCACCCCAGCCGCCTGCTAGCTTATGCCCCGAAATAATTACACGGACACTGTATTCTTTTAAACACTGCTTGGCCCATTAACTCTAGCCCTTACAGGCTAATTCTCATATTCCGATTAACCCATCTCTAATAATCTGTGTAGCATCAGTCTTACCGGGAAAGATTCTAGCCTACGTCCATCCTGGGTCTGAGCTTCATGCGTCTGCCCAGGAGAGGGGAGCATTGTGTCTCTGAGCTCACTTCCTCTT